ACATTCCAAGCCAAAGCATGGCTTCCTAGGTCCTTGTGCTTGCGGAGCTAGCTTGAATTGCATGTTTGGATTCCCGAAATTAGCTCCATAACCTCCTTGAATGCGCTCAAGCTTCCTCCTTGATAATTAAACCCCAGAAAACGCGACACACCTACAAAACAAGTAATAGAAACGGACACTACAGCAAAATAAAGCAAAGGTAACAGTGCAAAACCATTGCCTAATATAAAAAAGTGTTGCCTTGTAGCTAAGGCAACACATATGAGGCATAGTATATGCCCCCGTTGTCTATTCATAAGGAAACACATTTTTATTCAAAGGCAACAATTTTGAAAGCCAAGGTAAATGATACATAAGGCAACACTTTTACAAAGACAACAAATGAAAAATGTTGCCATTCAAGGAGACAATTCAAAAATGTTTCTAAATGTTGCTAATCCCAAGCATTTAGTAGTTGGTAGGGCTCGAACTTGTGACCTCAAAGTCACTAGGTGAGTTCCCCACCAACTCCACCAAACTTGTATATTTATATATATATATATACACACACACACACACACACACTAGTAGAATAAATGTGATGGGAAGCTATAATGGCAAGCGGTTTACATAATCCGCTTCCCATTTACTTAATTTAAAAAAAAAAAGTGAGAATTGAATTGGCAAGAGGTTTTGGTGCAAACCGCTTGCACTTTAACTAATGGCAAGTGGTTTGGGGTTGAACCGCTTACCATTAGTTAAATTGGCAAGCGGTTCAACCCCAAACCGCTTGCCAATTTAGAAAAAAAAAAGCGGGCTCGTCCTTACCCTCTTCTCCTCTCTGCTGTTCATCACTTAACTCAAAAATCTCAAAAAATTTGCTCTCCCGCGCTGTAGACACCTAAAAATGTCTCCCCAAAATTAAACCCGATGATGAACAACCTTTCACCGCCATTATTGGTCGGGTTGAGTATTTAATCTTGGAGTGCTTAAATCCATATTTCAATTTCATAAACCAAACCAATTCCTAGCCCATTTCCCCAAACCATAACTTATTTTCCTCTTTTCGTGTCTTTAAACCCAAAATAATTCATTTTGTGTCCTTTAAAATCAATCATTTCGTGTCCTTTTTATAAAAACGTTTATTCCATTTTATTTTGGTTCCATAATATGGGTCCAATTATTGATTACTTGGATGGGGCTTGAAAAGATATTTCCAACGAGATATTATAAGCCCAAATCCGAGTTATAACGAATAAGTTATGGTCAAAATATTAAACTGAGCTTAAACCGAACGAGGCCCCCCTTACCTATGACCCAATGATCATGTGGAGAGTCCAAATTATTTAATCCCAATTCTAAACCAATTATGATTAATTCGAAGCTTCTATAAGTTTCTAAAATATCTTAATTATCCTTTTTGAAAAGATAAGATTAAAGAGTTTGAAATTGAATAAAACTTTTCTTTTTGAAAGTCCTAATTCTATTCGAATTGAAAGACGTTCAAAGATAGACTGATAATATTTTCTTTCCTCATGGTTTTTATCCAAATATTAGATGGTTAGATAGCCCTTGAAATTATCTTTCCAATGATATATTATAATATCAATTCCGAGCTATAACGGAAAATATATGAATACAATATCAAACTCTATCCAAAACTGACACCGTCCCACTATTTCGACCATATCTTTTATTCTACAAAACATTTTAATCTGATTTTAATTTTATTAGAAATTATACTTCAAGATATTTCCAAAGATATCTTATTTATCTTATTCCGATTTCTGGATCAAAATATATGATAAAAACAAAAACCGTAAAAACTGCAGTCTATCGAGTTTTATTCCGATTTAATTCGGATCTTATCTTGTTTTTTCGACCCTTCTTTTATCTCTATAAATAGAGGTGATATCTCCCCTTTTTTCAATAATAAACAATCTTGATCATCAAATCATTCTCTTCTCCCTCTTCAGCCTAAACACTAGCCTCCCTATTCTTCGATAACACTTCCCCTAATCACTCCAAGGAGTCCATACAATACCCAAAGTTCTATACTTAAACCAAGGCGTGAAAGGTACAAATGTTGCAACTGAGGGTTTGGACCAAATCAACTCTAATTTTTTTTTTAATATAATTTTTTCAATTTTAATAATATATTTATTGAAGTTACTAATAGTTTATTCATGATGTAGCAATTCAAGGAAGCGCGGAAAGTGAGTAATTAATCACTTGATAACTCTTATTTTTATTCTTGTTGCTATCATGATTAGGTTTATTATGATTTTGATTTGACTAACGTTATTATTGTTGAATTTCTTCCAATATTAATGTTTATTCTATTATTATTTTTTATCACCATATTGCATATTAAAGGGAATAAGCAATTGAAAATCACGCCTAATAAGATAATTTGGACAACCGGTTTAGGTTCCTTTTTAATCTTGTTGTTTAATCAAGTGATCACTAATATTTTAATATTATGTGTTGCATTAATATTCAACCAATTTATCCTAATGATAGTTTGGAGCAAATTGAATCTTTGTTTGCATGCCTTTCAGATCGCAAGAATCACTTTTCACTATAAGAATTGAGTAGAGGCCAATACGGGCGAATGTGACTCCATGACTCACTTCGTACCATCATCCCTGATCCTCCTTTAGTGGTTTCGAACCATATGGAGGTAGAAATCTCATGGATTATGAATGGGGTGTAACCTTCACGGGTCAATCATTGTTGCCTTCGTTTCCCTCATTTGCGGTTGCCTTAAATGATCCGTGAACGGTTCACAAGTTCCTTAAAAACTTGTTGGCGGCTCCCTACTTTCCTTGTCCCTAATTGTATATGTCAATTCCCACTTTCTAAGAGTATCAAGCATATTCACCACATGCTTTAACGTAGGCGCACTTCAAACGACGCCTACACGCGCCTTTACTCCTACTCTCTTCTCACTTCTTCAGATTCCGGCCACCACCACTCCATTCACTTTGTTTTTATTTATTTATTTTTTTTTTCTGTTTCAAGGTTGTTTGTGCAATGGGTGGGTAGGGCTCGAGGCTAGCTGCTCGCACGAGGGTTATGGCTCCTGCTCGAGGCTGCTGGTGGTTGCTGCACCTAGTTGCTGGTGGTGTTCGTGGGTGCAGTGGGTGGTGGTGTTCGTGGGTGGTGGTGAACCGAGCCCAAGCAACACACCACAACTCTTTGTCTCTCTCTCGCCCTCCAGCTGTCATCCTCATCCCTCAATCTTTCTCATTCTCACTCTCAAATTAGGGTGAGTTCTTGCTAAATTTTAGTTTCATATGTATTAATTTGTATTAATTGTTTGTTTATTGCAAAATTTAAAGTTAAGGTTTCAACTAGTTAACACAATTTTATTTTAATTGTTTTATTATTTGTTAGTATATTCGATAATGTTAATTGTTACTTTAATTGTTTAAATGATATATATATATATATATATATGTATATGTATATATATATATATATATATATGTATATGTATATATATATATATATATATATATGTATATATATATATATATATATATATATATATATATATATATATATATATATATTGTTTGAACTTGAGTAGCTTTAAGTGAAAATTTTTAATAGAATATATATTAGTTAATGTATAGGATAGCTCCCGCTGAACTATCGCACAGCCCCTAGGGTGCGCACTCACTGCCGAGAAGGCAATTAAGGAAGGCTCATTAGCCCGGTGGAGTTAGCCCGCAGGGCTGAGCAGGCTGAACTTTCCATGAAGGAGATGGTACGCCTATAAATAGAGGGTAAAGTACAAGGAAAGGAGGTGAGACACTAAAGTTATTATACTCTCTATATTTCTCTAAGTACACTTTCTCTCTCTAAACACTCTCTAACTTAAGCTTCGGAAGGGGGGTTCCTCGAGCCACCCCCGAGGGCAGTTTACGTGTGCTGCCTTGTGTAGGTTATTGACGGGACCCATCTCACGTAGCAGAACCCTTGGATCCATACCTGGAACAATTGGCGCTAGAAGGAGGGGTATGATCATCTAACCTGAAGGTCACCATGTTAGGGACTAGTTAACTAACCACCATGGCCGAAGAAGAAACTGTACCAACACCTATGTCCAAAGCCAATGAGACCAACAAAACACCACAGAAAACACCCTCAGTAACCCTCGATCCAAAAGGATCCACCGGAAATCCCAAATCGACCATTTCACAGAAATCCAACCCCATCGGATCGACGTCAGCTGCAGCTAAAGCGGCGTCGAAACCAGTCGATCCAACAAGATCCAGTTCCATGTTCAAATACGGAATGCCGTTAACAAGCGTGAACAATGAGCTCATTGTTTCAGCACCTGTAACCCAGAAACCGCAGCCCGTAAACATGCCAGCCATCATGAAGAACCTCTCTAAGTGCAGTTTGGAGCAGCAGGCAGCAATGACGGCGGTCCTTACCAATATGGGTAAGGGGGTGAGCCCGTCACCGACAACGGCAACTGCGGAGCCCGCAGTAAAAAAGCCGGCACCCTCAGCCCTTACCCCCGAGCAGGAAGAGCTCGTTCAGTTGAGGAAGAAGATATTGGAGTTGGAAGCTCGTAACCTGAACCGTGAATGGAGGGTGGAGGAAGTAACCCCAGCTCAGATTAGCCCGGAGAAGCCGGTCCCCCGCAGCAGGTCGCCAGCCTTAGAGCGAGGACCCAGGCCGGAGGGGGACAAGCGAGCGCGGATCCAAGTTGTTCTAGATGATTCCCCATTTTGCCGGGAGATTCTGGAGGAACCAATGGAGAAGGTAAAGATGCCGAGCTGCAGATACAATGGAACCACAACACCTAAGAGCCATGTATCAGCTTTTGAGAACCATATGGTACTCTATACTATGACAGACTCAGTTTGGTGTAAAGCGTTCCCGCCAAGGAGGGGCTGGCAGCGGAGTGGTATGGAGCCATTCCCAAATGTTCCGTATACTTGTATAACCAGCTGAAAAGAAAGTTCATGGAGCATTTTATAACCCTGGTAGATCGAACTAAGATGACAACTGAGCTGATGTCGTTAGTTAAGGGAAAGGACGAACCTCTTAGGGAGTTCATCACCAGATTCAACAAGGAGGAAACAACCATTCCAAATATGAGTCAAGAGGTAGCGCTGCTAGCAATGCAGAGAGCCTTGCTACCAGGCTCACCCATCAGAGCGTACATGGGGCGTAAGAGCCTCAAAACACAAGCTGAAGTGCTGGGTAAAGCGCACGAGTTCATCAAGGCAGACGAAACAGACAGAGCCATGCTGAGTAGGAAAGCACCGGGTGACTCAGCTAAGCGAGTAGAGGCTACCCGGGCAGAGAACACACCCAGGGCTGACCAGCCAAGCAGGGCAGAGCAATGCCGCAGAGAAGCGAACAGGGCAGTGGGGGTGAGAAGGTCAGATCTGAAGAGAGGGCCAAGACCTGGAAGGTTCGACCAATATACCCTGCTAACCCACTCAAGATCTCATATCTTCAACGTGAACAAAGCTGATGATAAGTGGCAGAGACCCCCAAGGATGGTCAATAGAAACCGTGATACCCGCAAGTGGTGTGACTTTCACAGATATTATGGCCATACCACCGATGAATGCACACACTTGAAGGATAACATAGAGGATCTAGTCAGGAGAGGATACTTAAATCAGTTTAAGCAGCGCGATGATTCTCCTAGAAGGAAGGACGAGGATAGAGCAGGCCGCGCTGACCGCAAAGGGGTTATAGGGGTCCCGCTGGGGACAAAGACAAAGATGGTAAGCCAGAGGGCAGGATGTATGTGATCAGTGGAGGTCCAGTGCATGGAGGAACAGTGAATAAAGCACGGGCCGATCTGCGGGCGATGATACACCAGATAAACTACAATGAGAAGCGTAGATGGCCACCTCTTCCCCTGCAGTCGCGTGCCACGTTTGACGAATATGACCAGGAAGGCATAATTTACCCTCATGATGATCCACTGGTAGTGACTATGAGAATTGCAAACTAGGAGGTGGACATGATACTGATAGATGGAGGCAGCTCAGCCAACATCCATATACATCAGCGCGTTCAACGAGCTGGAGTTGATTAAGAAGGATCTGAAAAGGGTGAGTTACGAAGTCACCAGGTTTAATGGATCAGGGTTGACTCCCGAAGGTATAATCGAGCTCTCAGTACGAGTAGGGGAGAGGTAAAAAAGGCGTGATGTTCGAGCGGAATTCCTTGTGATAAACTCTCCTTCGCCCTATAATGTGATCATGGGCAGACCGCTCATTTACAAGATAGGCGGAGTGGTATCCACCTACCACCTCGCCATGGCCTACACAACTAATGACGGGTAGTCAGCAAAGCTCAGGGGAAGCCAGAAGAATGCTCAACAATGTTATATAACTGCTCTAAAGAAGCCTGCAAAGACCAGGCAGCAGCCAACCACAGAGCAGAAGCCCGCTGAGCAGGCTGAGAGGAAGTCAAGAAAAAGGAAGCGCAAAGAGTATCACAGTGAGAAGGACAAGCAGAAGTTAGCAATGGAAAACTTTGAGCCTGCAAAGGAAGAAATAGCCAGACCACTTCCTAGTGGAGAGCATGTCACAGTTGAGCTCACAGAGGGTGACCCCTCAAGAACGGTGAAGATCGGGAAAGATATCGATCCTGGAGTAGGTGTACACCTCATAGAGCTGCTGAGAAGGAACAAAGACATTTCCGCATTCTCCGCAGATGAGATGCCAGGAATTGACCCTGCACTCATGATCCACAGGCTGAATGTGAAGGAAGATATAAATCCAGTTAGGCAGAAGAAACGAAGCTTCACCACGGAGAAAAACCTAGCAATCTAGGAGGAAGTGGAGAAACTCTTGGAGGCAGGATTCATCGAGCCTTGCGATTACCTAGAGTGGTTATCCAACGTTGTTATGGTGAAAAAAGAAAATGGACAGTGGAGAATGTGTGTTGATTACACAGATCTCAACAAGGCATGCCCAAAAGTCTGCTACCCGCCGCCACGGATTGACCAACTGGTGGACTCAACCAGCGAGCACACTTTGCTAAGATTTATGGACGCCTTCTCAGGGTACCACCACATCAGCCTACATGAACTAGACCGGCAGAAAAGTGCATTCATCACCGAAGGGGGAGTGTACAATTACATAGCTATGCCCTTCGGGCTGAAGAATGCTGGGGCAACCTTTCAGAAGACAATAGATAGAGTGTTCATACACCATATGGGTAGAAATGTTGAAGTATATGTCGACGACTCAATTGTCAAGAATGTCACGCAGGCAGGGCATATCATGGATCTGGAAGAAACATTCGCTACCTTGAACAAATACAAAATCAAACTCAACCCGAAGAAATGTGTCTTCGGAGTGAGCTCAGGAAAGTTCTTAGGTTTCCTTATCAGCGAGAGAGGAATAGACGCAAATTCGGAAAAGGTTGAAGCAGTCTTAAGCCTGCCGGAACCTAAGTGCATTAAAGATATCATGAGGTTGACAGGCAGAATGGCCGCGCTGACCAGATTCATCAGCAAGTCAGCAGACAAGGCTTTGCCGTTCTATCAGCTACTGAAAGGAAATAGAGAATTTAAGTGGGGGCTGCAGAAAAAGAAGCCTTTGAGGGTATTAAGGAGCATCTGACTAAGCTCCCAACAATGATCAGCTCGGAGCTGATAGAAAATTTGCAGTTGTACATCTCCGCATCAATTCAGACAATCGCAACCGTCCTGCTGGTAGAGAGACAAAAGCAACAAAGTCCAATATACTTCGTGAGCCATGTTCTGACCGAGGCAGAGCAAAGGTACAAAGCTGGCCTTCGCAGTAGTAACAACAGCAAGGAAGCTGAAACCGTACTTTGACGTGCACGTAATACAAATCCTCACAAATCACCCGCAGGAGTAAGCATTACAGAAAATGGATGCATCAGGCAGACTCTTTAAGTGGGCCATCGAACTTTCTGAGTACGAGTTCGTGGTCAAATCGAGGGCAGCCATCAAGGCACAAGCCTTAGTAGATTTCATCGTGGAAGCCTCCTATGAGGAGAAAGAGGATTACATCGGGGTCTGGAAGGTATAAGTAGATGGATCCTCAGCCCAAACGGGGAGCGGAGCAGGAGTCATAATGACTTCCCCAGAAGGAAATGTATTTAAGTACGCTATAAAGTTTAAGTTCAAAGCATCGAACAATGAGGCAGAGTACGAGGCAGCGCTGGCCGGCCTACGCATGAGCATCGCGGCCGGAGCCCGCAAAGTCCACTGCAAGGAGCGTATGATATTAGAGAAGCCGTCACGCTGAAATATGTTACCAAAGTAAAAGAGTTGGCAGCCCAGCTAGTTCACTTTCAGATAGACTTGGTCCCTAGAGCAGGAAACTCCCGGGCTGACGCTTTATAAAAGTTAGCCAGCTCCACACTACAGAGCCTCACAAGGACAGTGATGGTTGAAGTCTTGGAGGAAAGCAGTATTGCTGAAAAGGAGCAGGTAAACTGCATTGGGCAATAGAGAGCCTGGTTCGCAGACATTCTGGCATACAAAGTTCATGGCTCGCTGCCCGACGATGAAGTACAGGCGAAGAAAGTGAAGAAAGACGCCAATAGGTATGTGGTGATGAATGGAGAGCTCAACAAGAAAGGCTTCTCAAAGCCACTGCTGAGGTGCATCCCAGAATGGGAGCAAGAAAGCATTATGGAAGAAGCCCACTCAGGAATATGTGTCAATCACATTGGTGGAAAGGCATTAGGGGTGGAAGTCCTAAGAAGGGGTGCATATTGGCCGACCCTAGCTCAAGACGCGCTGGCATATGTGAAAAATTGCGACAAGTGCTAAAAGTACTCCCCAGTCATAAACCAGCCAGCAAATGATCTGACCCCAATCCTCAGCCCGATCCCGTTTGCTCAGTGGGGAATGGACATATTGGGACCATTCACCACTAGGTCAGCAGGCAGAAAGTACCTCATAGTGGCGATAGATTATTTTACTAAGTGGATAGAAGCTGAGCTGACAATGTACATAAAGGCAACCCAAGTGAGGACGTTTATGTGGAAAAACATCATCACAAGGTTCGGGGTGCCACAGTGCATAGTCTTTGACCAGGGGTGCCAATTTGACTGCGACACGATTAAGGATTACCTGGAAGACATGGGCACCAAATACGCAAGCGCCTCAGTCTGCCACCCCTAGAGTAATGGCAAGGCGGAAGCAGCAAACAAGCTGATCCTAACGGCCCTGCAGAGAAAGCTGGAAGAATACAAGGGCCTGTGGGCAGACTTAGTCCCAGAGGTCTTATGGGCGAATAGAACCTGTTAACTGAGATGAACACTACACGAGGGGGGTGAACTGTAGTTGAGTTCCTAAATAATAATTTTGCAAATATAAAACAGAACAAAATAGGAACTTGCGATGCACACAAATTTTACGAGGAAACCTTCTAGTGCCCAACTAGAAGTAAAACCTCGACCCTACCTTAGGGATTTCAAACTCAAGCAATTCCACTATAATAGGGCAAACACCAAGTTACAACCTATTATAATTCAGCCTCTACTCTCAAGTTCGAGAATGAACTTGCTACAGAACAACACCTTGTTCTACCCAGTTTGAGTCCCACACTCAAACTCACTCGTACTCCCTAAGTACAGATTTTTCCCCTTCTCACCAGAAGCTCTCGCTGTATGCAATGATAAAAACACTCTTACCCTGATAAACCCAAAACCAAATACAAGAATTAACACCTAGTATATGATAGGCAAGCTAAGCATGAAACTCGAAACTAATATGACAGTATGATAAGCTTGGCAACTTACGCAACTATAGCTATGTAAATTCTTCACGCATAAAACTCACAAAAACCTAGGCTCATATTATTCTCTACTATTTATACGGGTATTACCTGTATAAACAGTAGGTTTACATAAAGATAAATAAGTAAAACTTAACTTATCTTAAAACACGGTTTTTTAATTAAATCCTTTGAAGAAAATCTTTTTAGAAAATAAGATAGAAATATTGAATTAAAAAGCATAATATCTTTTTAACAAACTGATTTTAAAAGATAAATATTTAAAGAAAATCTTTTTCCGATTTCTATCTTTTATCTTTTCCGATTTTAATTTATTTGCCAAGCTAACTGTCACGCTTCTAATAAGTTTCATGTATATACTACTTAACATATTTAAAAATGAATCTAGAAGATAAAATCTTAACTAAAACATTGTTGCGTTGTATTCTTGTTCTAGCAGGTTTACTTGGACTTCACGCTTACCAAGTTTCTCCAAAGATCTTAGTCAGCAATCTTCAAGTTCCTGTGAAGGAACGTTCCTGTGAGGGAACTCAATTCCTGTTAGGGAACTCTTCTTTTATATTGAATAACTTTCTTGATAAAGAACTCCTTCAAGACTTCTCAGCTTTAGTTATTTCTTCAATCTCCAAGATCAATTTCACCTAGGCTGCACAAACACTTGAAAAGTCTTTATGAGATGAGTTTGCTGTAACTCAAGTTCCTCATCATCAATACCCTTAAACATCAACAATTTTCCCCTTTTTGATGATGACAAACTTAAGCAAACTCTTGAGAAAGTTAAAACAAAATAAAAGGTCGTATTTTTGTATTTTAAATTTATTGACAGAAAATAAACACACAACAGAAATAAAACAAAAACGAAAAGTAAGCTAAGTAAAGTGAAAGTAAACGAAACTGAGAAAGTTATGATACTTTCTCAACTGGAACCTAGATTAACTTAAGCCTCCATGTTTGCTTCTTCTTTTCCCCCTTTTGGCATTATCAAAAAGTCCTGTATTTTCAAGTTTATTAAACATCCA